CTCTGTCATTTCTAGAGTTTTCTTATTTCTTGTTTACTTAGGTAATATTATATCCTTCTGGAGTCTTTTATGGAGTTGAAAAATGGTTACTTATAGTTATAGTTTTCTTAGTTATGATAAAGATTATTGTAATTTTTACTTGATAACTGTTTTGTTATATGTAATTTTACTATGTTAAAGTTAAAGCCTTTCTTTTTTGTTTAAACAGAAAAAGGGGAAATGATGTGGGAGTGATTTCTTATTAATAAAGAATCTGCCTTAGCCCATTTGATAGGCCCACCCTTAGGTGGGTGGAGTAAACAGAACAGGATGCTGGGAGAAAGAAGCTGAGTCAGAGAGTCGCCATGATTCTCCCACTCCAGACAGACGCAGGTTAAGATCTTTCCTGGTAAGCCAGCTCGTGGGCTACACAGATTATTAGAAATGGGTTAGATTAATATATAAGAGCTAGCCAATAAGAGGCTAATGATAATGGGCCAGGCAGTGTTTAAAAGAATACATTTTCCGTATAATTATTTCGGGGCATAACTTAGCCATGCAGGCGGCCGGGTGCCGGGGATGCAGCCCTGCCACTCCTTCAACACTGTAATAGATGAAGAATTATGTATAGATAGAATAGCTGCCATCATCTTCCCTGAGGACAGTAAGCATAAGCATGGTTCATATTCAACAACAGACAAGGAAAATAATTGTATGAGAATATGAATTACTGAATGATAAGAAACTAAAAAGTGAACCAATGCAAAATAATCCCTTATTTTAACAGATTGGGAAAAAAGATGGAGAAGGAAAGGCTATCTTCATGGACTGTGGCATTCATGCACGAGAATGGGTCTCCCCAGCTTTCTGTCAATGGTTTGTCTATCAGGTAAGTGAACCAATCAATATCAGCTACTCTCTAACTGGTCTCCAGACCTTACTGACTAACAACATTCCTTTCCAAAAGTGTGATGTTCCACCTAATTAGAGAAATCTCCATTTTCCTCTGGCAGCACATACAGGCCTGAGTTTTATTCATCATTTTATAAATCCTTAAACTCTATCTGAAAGTTTATGATAATGAAAACACCTTCTCTTAGCTGTAATACTGACATTTATCCTGCAGTTATATAATAATCTGATACCTCTTTTATGCTATAAACTGAAATTTTTTCTTTGATAAACTCAGAAAATAAATTTTTAGTTTGCTTATTTCATTGGTCATATACAAACTTGGGGTTTTTCTACTTAACTTCTTTTCAACTGAGAAACAGCTTGTATTATACTAATAGATCTAGTTTGTATGTTTCTGAATATCTACTGACAATGTATTTGACACATCCTATTTTAACTTTCTCCACCAACTGACCAACTGTTTCACATAGTACTTTGGAACACCCACAGCACTGATTGTTGGACCCACAGATACATTCACTAGGAAAGATGCTGCATAGTATTGACTTATAACTTTGGTTATTTTGACAATTCCAACTAAAGGCCAAAACCCCCTCTTAAGCAACAAACAAGGACAAAGCGTTATGACTGCAAGGAATTTCCTGCATGCTGTCAATCTCAGCCCTGCCACAGCTGTGCAGAAGAACTAGATTGAGGCTGTTCTGGGCTGCATGGTGAGATCTTCACACACACTTCCTCTCTCCCTTTGTCTCTGTCTCTGAAACACATACACACATATGTATGCACGTGTCCTGAGAGGAATTTTCCAAGAATGGGGAGGGGTTTTGTTTGTTTTTGTTTCTGAGAATTTTGATAGCTACAGAAAGCTCATATAATTGTTGGAATTTATGCCAGAAAATAGAAACACTGACAGGCCAATTTCTATACTTTTTGAAAGTGTTTAAAATCTTGTAACCTTGGAAAACAACTCAAAGAGTGGTAGCTATGGCTAATAGGATCTAGCTTTCTCAATAGCAACCTCACTTTCTATCCCCTCTAGGCCACTAAGAGTTATGGAAAAAACAGAATCATGACCAAACTCTTGGACCGGATGACTTTTTACGTTCTGCCTGTATTCAATGTAGATGGGTATATTTGGTCATGGACTCAGGTACTGCTCTATATATACTTGTTACATTTAAGAAATTTATTAGTCACTGATTTTAATGCACATGTATTGTTGTTTATTATGTTTAAGGTTTGGGTGACTATTTGATTCCAATTCAGAAAAGTAACTTTTTAGATATTTAAAAATTATTTTTTCTATAATCTTTGAGAATTTCATACAATACACGTTTATCTTCTTTATTCCCCACTCTCATCTCTTTCCAGAATCACTTTCACATCCATACTCATCCAACTTCATGTTTTCTGTCTGTCTTAAAAAACAAAGCAAAACAAACAAACAAAAAACATGGAGTCCAGTTTGTATCAGCCGACTACTCTGGAGTATGGGGCTTACCCTGGAGTGTTTGATATACCCAGTATCATTAAAGAAAACTGACTCTCTTTTCCCAGTAGCAATCAAATGTCAATAGCTCCTCAGTTAGGGCGGGACTTCCTGCCCACCTCCCCATTTGATGCTGAACTTTTGTCTGATGTATCCAGTGCAGATCCAGTGCATGCTGTCATGTCACCATGAGTTCACGTGTGTCTGCCCAGTTGTGTCTAGAAAACAGTTTTCTTGTTGTCAACCACCTCTTCTGGCTCTTCACATTCTTTCCAATCTCTCTTCCCCCTAGGAAAGAGAAAGTGGGAAAGGTATCCCACTTAGGAAAGTATTATTTAGGGCTGATCATTCCCAAATTTCTTATGTTCTGTCCATTGATCAACTGTAATGTTCTGGTTGCAAGGGTATTACTAAAATAATATGAATGTTTTGCTTCTTTCCAAGGCAGGTAATGGTCATTTTCTAGTACAGAAAACTAATCAACCATTTTCCATAAACTTACGGAAAATTTTCATCAATGCTAAAAACATTAAGATTAAATATTATTGTGTCTAAAAATTAGATATTGTAAGAAAGCATTTCTTTATAATAAAGGAGATCAGGTTAGCTATAGAGATTTCAAATAAACTTGTAGACACATACTGAGAGAATCTGAGATGGTAACACTGAATAGTGCAGCTGCACATGTGTCCACACTCTGATGTCCCTTCTGGCAGGACCGAATGTGGAGAAAAAACCGTTCCAAGAACAAGAATTCTACCTGCATTGGAACTGACCTCAACAGGAACTTTGATGTTTCATGGAACTGTGAGTTGCAGATTTATTGTCAAGAAAATAATTTTGCATTTAGACCATGAGTTTAAATAAACTACCTATTTATTTCAGCAATAATAGAGATCCCCTGAGTTAGTGTTTATTTCCTTATCTCTTAAACAGAAGATAATCATCAGTACCATGGAAAGATTTTGAAGGTTTTCTGTGGGAGGAAACAGGAAAAAATGTTGCATATCTATTGAGCCACCTCTTGCTGAACATTTAAAACACACAGAGAGAGAGAGAGAAAGAGAGAGAGAGAGAGAGAGAGAGAGAGAGAGAGAGAGAGAGAGAGAGAGAGAGAGAGAGAGAGTGTGGTGATTTGGGTAATTTGGGGCCTTACCACTTTTTAACTTTATAGAAGCTGAGAAATACCAGTGGTTAAAACCGACATACAAGTAATGATGCTTCAGTTGTTCAATGAAGAACAATTAGGGATGAGAGCAGTTAAAAAGTGTATTAGGGATAGTGACCAGTTAGACCTGTTACTTCAGATGATGTATTCATTTCTACACACACAATTTTATCATTGCAGACTATAGAGAGACCACACCTCTGCCCCAATTTGTGCATTTTTTCTTTACCTACTTTGGTTTGTAAAAGGTGACCATATCTTTTAAAAAAAAATAAACTTTAGTATAAAACACTTGAAAATAAAAAATTCAACACACTAATTTTTATATGTATGCTTTCTGTTCAAAGACTTTTTAATATATGCCAATGTATTAGCATGGAACTTGAGCCAATGGTGCTAACATGGAGCTTTCCATACCTTTTAACTCTATTCTACTGTAATGAATATTGAAATAGCAGCAGTTATCCTTAATCAATAGACAGACTTCTTCTGAAAGAAACTGAAGAAACCTGGGCTCACGATAGTAGATTTACACCAGTTCTCAATAGTCAGAGCTGGAGTTGAATGGAAACTGGTGTAGATCTAGGCTCTAAGCCTTGGGATGCTTGTGTTTTTACTATAACCTGAAAAAGGATGACAAATAAGGTTAAGAATATTTCCACAGTCTATGGGACATATGTCCACAAAACCTTTAATGACCATATAACCAGAGATATCTCATGTCTTAAACTTTGGGTGAACCAAAAGAGGCGGGGTGGTGTTAGTGGACAGTGCCTTGTGATCTCATCCACATTTCTTCTGTAGCTTCTTCAAACACCGCAAACCCATGCCTGCATGTATACAGGGGCCCTGCAGCAGAGTCTGAAAAAGAGACAAAAGCTGTCACTAACTTCATTCGAAGACATAAGAACTCAATCAAGGCTTATATCACCTTTCATTCCTACTCCCAAGTGCTATTATTTCCGTATGGCTACACATCCAAACTGCCACCCAACTATGATGATCTGGTATGTAAT